GTCTACCAGCGTCACGCCAAGAAACTGAATCATTTTCACACTACCTGCCTCAGGAAACTCCTCGACATCAGGTGGCAAGACAAAGTCCCCGACACCGAAGTCCTCGCTAGAGCGAACCTACCTAGTATCTTCACCACTCTGATGCAGTCTCAGCTCCGTTGGATGGGACACGTAGCCCGTATGGCAGACCACCGGCTCCCGAAACAAATATTCTTTGGAGAACTCACGATAGGCAAGCGCTCCCAAGGAGGCCAAAGAAAGCGTTACAAAGACTCACTGAAAGTGGCACTAAAGGCCTTCAGCATAAACACTACTCAATGGGTGCAGACAGCCCAGGACAGAGCCAGATGGAGAGCTGCTGTCAAGAAGGGGGCTAAATCCCATGAAGCTAAGAGAATAACCACAGCTGAGACACGCAGGCTTGTCCGAAAGAGCAACATTAGGTCATCGTCTGAAGCAACTATTCCATGCCCACTGTGTCATAGATTATTCCGAGCAAGGATCGGTCTAACAAGCCACCTAAGAGCTCACCGTAATCCCAACCCCCCCGCCCGCCCCTAACCGGATGATTCGATGGTCCTTGTCGACTTCGACGGACGAACAACATATATATATATATATATATATATATATATATCTCTAAGGTGCTATCAATAAATGATGTCATGTACATGGGGGATAATTTGTGATAATGTACTAAGAGAGTGTCTAACTTTGTGTGAGAAATATTTGTGATGATAGGAGGAAGAGGGGACCAAACTCTGCCAAAATAGCTTGATGTAATTTATGGATATATATAAATATATACAATTATTTATTAAAAATTTTGTACTTAGAGATTTAAATTGTATATATTTTCATACAAATATTCATATAAAATTCCAATGAACAAAATATTAACATAGTAAAATAAATCTATTAATTAAATCTTAAATCGGGACAAAACATTGGCAGTCTTTGGCACATCATTATCCAGGTTGACAATACACCATTTAGATTAGTTTTCCAGCCACCAGGTGAGATTGCTAAAGAATTAAGTGCTGATCCTTTTTAGTACTGCAACATATACATTTTATTCAAGCTGCAAACATATACCATAAAAAATCAGGAAAGTGAAGAGGAAGAGACACACAGGATCTAATGGCAAAGAAGTCACGCCTAAAGTCCCTGCATCTTTTAGGGCCTCTACGTCAAGCGATCCAAATTTTCGGGGGAGGGGGCACTTTGATCTTGAGTATACTTGTAATGATTTAATGTAGGTGTATAGTAGTATTGGCTCTAGACATAACAAGTTGAAGTAGGGGAGAGAAGTAAAATTAAAGGAAGCACCACAAGTCATAAAGTGTTCATAAGACGGAAATCGACAAAGGGAGGATTTTGAGAGACTATCGTCCTTTGATGACAGCTGGGAAGCAAAGAAATAAAAATTACACCAGCTAATTGGGTCAGTGAATAAGCAACCAAACCTGAAACAAATTTAATTTTTGTATTAGTCAATAGTCATATGTAACAAAAGGTTCACTCCAACTCAGAGTGAAGGATATGATGAGGGGCAAAATTTGAAGTGCCTTGCCCGGTACTGTGCTTGTGTGAGTGCAAGTGTGACATATGTATAGTCCTGGATTAGTTAATTAGTGAGAGAAGTCTATACCATACCTGCACTATGTTTTTGTGCTGATATGTGTCATCTTAGCAAAAAAGGGAACATGACAGACTACAGATGTTGATATATCTCTAGCTACTTTTGATCTAAATTAGCCTAGAGAAAAATATTCTCTGATCTTTACCAGTAAATTTGTTCCACTGTGTATGCTTTAACTCAGTAAACCAGTTTTTTCTATGGTGTATATCTTTACTTAGTGATATCCACTAGCAAAATGCTCTAATACTAATGTCCTAATTAAGCAGAAACCACATAAATCACAAATGTATTTTTAATAAAGCCAGACCTTCAAAGACCTTGTAGTGAAGAGAAAGAAACACATAAAAACTCATTGTGCTCACAAATGCAAAAATGCTAGCTAACTTACAGAGGAATCAATTTTTAATGAGTACTATATCAAATACAAAAATAATTACACTTACTGAGACTTCCAAGATATTTGTTTTTGCCAAGATTGCACAGATAACTTCAAAAATGTTAAAGTCAATAGTTTAAGTAATGAGAAGTCTAAAAATAACCAAAACAAATTTCATCAAATTTATAAAAGAAAAGGAAAGAAAATTTAATGAAAATGAGAGAATTAATTAATTTTTTTTTTTTTTGCTTTGATTATTAATAAACATTTATTTACATTAGCCACATCTTCATTGATTTATGAGCTATAATCTAAAATATTTTATTGCCTAACTTTATTTATAATAAAACAAACTGCAATATATTTTAATTTAAAAGAAAATAGGGTTCAAGAACAATTTTTTTGTTAGAGACCTATCTTACTTATTTGCATCACTTATTTATATCAATATACACATAATCACATCTTTGAATTATCTGACTGTGTTCATAATGATGATAAAAGTATGTAGCCTTCATAAACTAAGAAATTACAGAAAAAGAAATTATGCAAATGTTAATAAATGCACCATTCTACATTTTCAACAAATTAAAAAATAATATCTTTTAACATATTTAAAAGAGTTACATTATCTTATTTAAATATTTTTCACAGTTCACAACACACCAAGAGATCTTGCCTATAGGAAGTTGTTATTCTAAGCCATATTAGATTTTCAGGTGCAAATTACATTTCTAAAGTAATTGGTTTCATTAAATTATTCTGATTCATTAATGTCAATACTAAGTAATTCTCAAATGAGGCATTATCTATTTGGCGAATGACACCAATGCATTGCAGAATTTTATTTACATTAAATTATTTTATTTCCTAAATCAGTTTTTAAAATAAATATGAAATAAAACACCTCAGGACCATTTTATGTTTATGTTTCTAATTTTGAAAAAATTATTGATATGTGGACAAAATTTGTTTATCTTAAAATATTAGATCTACACTTAAAGATAACAATTGGCTTAGAACTAACTTTCACTAAATTGGCAAAGACATTGCATTGAGTAAGCCCTATAACATGGGCAAATGAAACATTTTACGAGACAAGTAAACTTTAAGAGATGGAGGAATAGGAAGCTGAGCCACACATTTGACCAAACCAGGGCAGTCATATGTCACCAACCTTTTCTGGATAACTTTACGACACAAGTTTCGCAGGCTGGGAGGGGAGGTCATGGCAGCATTATACCAAGCCAAAAAGTTGTCATCTCCTGTAAGCAACTGAGCAGGAATGCCAGGACCTTTCCAGCGAAGCCAATCTTCCAGATTTAGCATGTCACAACCAGCAGCATAGAGGATCTAATGGAAGAAAAGATGAAAGATTTTTAGATATAATATAACTACATTCATATCTTGACATTTAAAAAAAAAAAAAAAATTAAAACAATTCGGAACAATTCAGCAATATTCAAAATATTGGAATAAAAAATGATTTATATAATAATAATAATAATAATAATAATAAGTGGTCTTATATAGCGCGGTACCCCGGCCTAGGGCTGGGCTCACCGCGCTGTACATATATAGCAAAGAGGCATAATCATAATATTAAAATAAAATACATAAATGAAATAAAAACAACATATAAGCAAAACAACACCATAGGTATATTCATCCACCCACACCAGACATTTTTACAAGGAAACCCATGTACGTTTATCGGTTTATAGGAGGAGAATCAGTCAGAGTAGTATAGTTTAAATAGATGTGTTTTGAGTGCAGTTTTGAAGGCCTGTGTGGTTGTTATATTGCGGATGTGTAGTGGCAAAGAATTCCATTGTTTGGGGGCGCAGAAAGAGAAAGATCGTTCACCATATAATTTAGTGCGTGTCTTGGGAACGGACAGAATACGCGAGTCTGCGGAGGAGCGAAGTTGTCGAAGGGGTGAATAGACAGAAAGAAGTTCAGTTAGATAGGAAGGGCAGGAATCCGAGAAAAAGTTGTGACAGAGAAGAGACAGCTTGTAGTCAATGCGTGCCTGTATAGGGAGCCAATGTAGTGAGTGGAGTAGTGGAGTGACGTGATCGCGTTTTTTTGCCTTAAGAACAAGCCTAGCAGCAGAGTTTTGAACTTTCTGCAGTTTTTCTATAAAATGTTTCGGTGAACCTGACAGAAGTGAGTTGCAATAGTCAAGACGAGAGAGAACAAGAGCACAGACTAGAGTTTTTGTTGCGCTAACTGTCAGGTAGTGGCGGATGGAGCTGATCTGACGGATGGCGGTGTATGCCGAACGACAAATGTGAGAGATATGTTTATCGAGAGACATGTTGTTAGAAAGAATATAACCAAGATTCCTAGCAGAGGGTGTAAACTGTATGTCGGAGTTACCTACTTGAAATGAGGTGGGAAGAGTTGAGGTAGAGGATGATTTGTGATTGTAAATGAGGAGTGCTTCTGTTTTGTCATCATTAAGCTTCAACTTGCTGAGTGTCATCCAAGACTTGACATCATCAATGCACCCCCGCAAAGTCTGGACAGCGGAATCGACAAGAGATGGATGGGTATGCATGTATAGCTGTGTATCATCTGCAAATGACTGGTTCTCAACAGCATGCCTCCCGAGCAAGAGGAGTAGTGGTCTGGTATACATTATGAATAGAACCGGACCCAAAACGGACCCCTGTGGCACTCCGTACACCAAATCAGCACTGCCGGAGAGACAGCCATCGACAGAGACCATTTGCGTTCTATCAGAGAGGTAGGACCTAAACCAAGCCAAAACCGAACCAGAAATTCCAAAGTAGTTTTCAAGGGTTTTGAAAAGGATTTCATGGTCAACAGTGTCAAAGGCCGCACTGAGGTCTAAGAGGATCAAAATGGAGACATTACCGCTGTCCATTGCGCGCAAGAGGTCATTACTGACTCTCAAGAGAGCTGTCTCCGTGCTATGGAAATGTCTATAGGCCGACTGATTAGAACTGAGAAGAGAGTGATCATTTAAGTAAGCAAAAAGTTGTTTTAGGACTAGTTTTTCAATAACTTTAGATAAAAATGATAAGTTAGATACAGGTCTATAGTTTTTTAAATTATTTTCATCCAGACCGGGCTTCTTAAGCAATGGTTTGATGACAGCTGATTTGCAAAGAGGCGGAACAGTGCCAGAATATAAGCTTTCATTTATTATGCGGGTTATTGTTGGGAGCAAGATATCTAATGACTCAACCAACAGGGGGGTTGGGATGGGATCCAAATAACATGACGTATGTTTAGATTTTAGGATTATATTTTTTACCTCAAGTTCTGAAACAGGTTTAAAAATATTAAAATGGGAAGTAAGACAAGGGAAAGGAGGCAATTCAAGGGGAGGGGCATCAAGACGATCAAGCTCAGCTCGAATGTCAGCTACTTTGCTTGTAAAGAAATTACAGAAAATATCTGGTTGCTTGGGCAGGGGAAACACCGAAGGAAGCGCAGTTCCTTTAATAGTCCATTTCTAAAAGGCAATCAATAGATGTACAGATAGAGCATTCAGTATGAATATTAATGTATGAAACTTTCCCCTTAAAGTGTATAAAAATAATTATTTTTACTATTAGTATTAGCCTGCAGTTTGTTCTTTTATTGGCATCCATTTATGTATGTTCAAATTCAATTGATGATGGGTTGGTTAAGTTATTTATAGAACATAAATTATTTCTGAGAAACATTATTTGGTTGCATTGGTCAATAAAGTTAGTTTTATGACAGAAAAAGGTTAACAAATTAATTTAAAAGTAAAAACAACATATTAACTTGTCATATTATGTGTTTCAATTTTTTTCTTAAAAAATTTTATGCTTAAAAGATTGCAGCTAAAGATCCCATTAAATTTTTCTAAATTGAAAAATAAACCTTATTTTTTTTTTTAAATTATGCTTTGAAATCTTCCCTGGAAAGACAAATTTATTAATTAAAAAAAAATTAAATTTATTCAATTTGATGTAAATTTCTGCTAACTGGGGAAGGAAATGATTTAGACAGGAGAATAATTGATGACTTTAATGGTCCACCGATACAAGGGTGACCACCATATTTGAACTCTTCAGACAATGGGAACTTAATGACAGTGGTGTGGCTAGGGTTGGTGCCAACATGGGCGGGCTGAGAATTCAGCCATCCACTTCCAATGGAAAAAACTGAAAAATGCTGCCCCTTCATATAAAGAACAAAAGTGATGAGAGGGGAGGGGGGGGGGGCACACCCCCTACTGCTTGGTAATAAATATAGCCAATGTTTCAACATCCCAGCCAACATAAACTTTTTTGTTACTTTTAAATAAAAATTAAATATTGTAAAATATTTCTAAAAATTACAAAAGTGATGAGAGGGGAGGGGGGGGGGGCACACCCCCTACTGCTTGGTAATAAATATAGCCAATGTTTCAACATCCCAGACAACATAAACTTTTTTGTTACTTTTAAATAAAAATTTAATATTGTAAAATATATCTTAAAATATCAATGAGAGAAACAAGCAGCCAAGACAAAGTCAAGCTCATCCCTGCATTGTATCAATCAGTAATACAAAAAAACCACAAAAAAAAACCAACTAAACAAAGTACCTTTATACAAGGAACTTGATACTTAAGATCTTCTTTATATAACCCAGTACTCAAAGATGCAACACAGACATAAAGTGGCGTTCTTCCTTTGTAGTCTACCACATTCACGAAGCTATTAGCTTCTAGTAAAATGCGAATCAATTCTTTGAGTTTCCAGTGAGCAGCACTATGAAGAGGTACACGACCGTAACGATCCGCTCTGTAATTTAGAATGTAAGGCATTTGTTTAGCGCATGTTTAAAAACTATTATTATTTTTAAATAATTTGTAAAAATCAACTCAAAATTAATTAATATTTATCTTCTTAGTCATTAATAAGATATTTCAAAACAATGAAGCTATCAATCAGAAAAATGACAAACACAACACAATTAGCCTTCCATAAATGTCTTTAAAAAAAGCTAGATCTCACATGTTTACTGATGCTCCAGCATCCAATAAACGTATGACAGTGGCATAGCTGGAATGCACAATAGCATTTTGTACACATATATACAAAGGTGTCTGATTTTCTTTATCGGGCTTGTCAATTTCAGCACCTTTACAATAACAAGAAGGAGGATCAATCAATGCAAATAGCAGTATATTTTATTTTACAATAAATTTTAGCATAATATAACTTTAAAAAAAAAAAAAAAAAGGATATAAATATGTAAGTAGACAGCTGCTGAACAAAAAATTTTCTTTATCGGGCTTGTCAATTTAAGCACCTTTACAATAACAAGAAGAAGGATCAATAAAAGAAAAAAGAAGTATATTTTATTTTACAATAAATTTTAGCATAATATAACTTTAAAAAAAAAAAAAAAAGGTTATAAATATGTAAGTTGACTGCTGCTGAACAAAAATAAATATGTCATGTATTTCAACACTTGCCTTTTTGAACTAATACATCAACCAAATTCATACGCCCATGAAAGGCTGCTTTGTATAAAGGTGTACAGCCATTCCGATCAGTCCTGTTTACTGCAGCACCATTATGAAGAAGAATCTGAATTTGTAAAAAAAATTGACATGATATGATATCAACATTAGATTGTACATATAGATTCAAATGTCTATTTTATATTTTACTAGTCAATATACCTTGCGTCACTTGGGTATGCATTCAGAAAAATATCATAAATGTTATCAGCATACAAGTAAATTTAGGGCCCTGACAAAACACTTGCCTATTGTACCAATCAAATTTTAAAAAAATTTCCTTAACAAATTCAGTCTATAAAAACTCTTGTAAACATTGAAAAGGGGGACGCAGCCCGTTTCAGTTATTACACAAGCTGGGCCAAGTAAAAAAAAATGATTCCAAGACCAATCGAATTTAAAAAAAAAATTTCTTATTAAAAAATTTATTCAGCAATGCCACCAGGTATGGCCTTGTATTAATTAAAATAAAATAGTATACCTAACAGGAACCCATTCCAAAAGGGGTCAATTTAGTTATCCCTAAGATAGGGGCTCTATAAAAATAATTCACTTAAATATTCAAATTAAATTTCAAATTTAGCCCATTAAAGTTGGATAGATTTTGCCATAGATTTAGCTTTTTAAATTGTTATCTATTGGAGGCTCGGCACCCATGGGACAATCTTTACAAGTTAAGGTTGGATAAAGAACAAACTTTATTTTAAAAAGTGTCCCATTAAAATCAGTTGCAAAACACCAAAGATATAGGGTTATATTTTAAATAAAATTGGGGCACCTGCCCAAAAAGGGTGGAATATTATTAGTTTCAAATCCACCAATATTTTTAAAGGGGTTATCTTCTTCTTCTTCTTATATTTGAGGGGCCCACGATCAATTTTTTGATCATTCTGGCTCCTGGTTTAAATTCAGAGTTTGCCTTCTCTTAGATGGGTTGCCGTCCAAGGCTAACGAGTCCCATCCACCCGGGGTGCTTGGGATGTTGGATTTGGTGGGGATTGAACTCCGGACCACCGGCTTTTTGGTTTGAGACAGTTCAGACCGCTCGGCCACCCAGCACCCAATGAAAGGTATGTTGACCAAGTTTGGCCTAGATGCAACAATTAATGTTAAAGCGTGTAATCGCAAGATCCAATAGTTCATTCTAAATACTTTTTGGAGGTGCGGTCTTCCTTTTCAGAGAAGATTTTATGCAAATTGTACCTGTTGTTCCACATGACACCAGAACAGAAATACTTTCTTCATCTATGAAGAATGTTAAGTGTTTGAAAAATGTTCAGGTCCAAAAGTTAGACCAAAACATGCATGCCAATGAGGGCAATGTCCCATCAGAACACCAAGGCTTTTCTGATTGGCTTTTAAAGCTTGGAAATGGAAAATTCCAAGAACCTGGATTAGAGGAAGGCATCTTTGAAATTCCTCCAGTCTGCACTGTAAATGGATGTATTGTTGATACTGTCTTTCCTGAGGTCATCCAATCAAGAGATGAACGCAATGCTGACAGCAAAATTCTGACCCCAACAATTCATGATTCACTTAAACTTAATGAAAATGTCCTTAGACGAATTCAATCTGAATTAAATTTATATACCAGCATACTTTCTTTTCAGCAAGACAGTGCAAACGTCGAGGAAAAACAAAACTATCTTATGGAGTTTTTGAACTGCATTTCTTGAAAGTTGGTGCAGTAGTAATGTTGCTATGAAAGAGAGGTCTTTGCAATGTCACCAGAATGGTCATCAACCAAATGATGTCAAAAGTCTTTGACTGTGAAATTCTGATCGGATCTTTTAAAGGTACCAGGATATTTATTCCAAGAGTTTTTCTTGCACCCAGAAAACCTAACTTTCTCGTTACATTAACCCTTGCTTTTGTTGTGACCATCAACTAAAGCAAAGGACAAACACTTAATTCAGTTGGTATTTATGTGCCATTTCCAGTATTCAGTCATGGACAACTTTATGATGTATTTTCAAGAACAAAGCGCTTTCACCAAGTCAAGGTAACAGTCTAAGGACCAGACAAACAAGGGAACTAAAAGAAATACCACAGTTTACACCAAAAATGTGGTCTACGAAAAAATCCCCCCCCCCCCCCGATAATTAAACTACATAGCCAGCTGTGGCATTATCAATGTGAGCTAATAAAAATGCTCGCTACCCTGGCATAGAATGGGTACTTCAGCTAGTAACAATTTAAGGCTCTATGTCAATTGATAGATGTAAGCCAAACTTTGTAGCTATACCCTTATATTTCATATTAAAATAGCGTTGGTTTCTTTGAAGGCCTACATTCTATGTTCTTTTTTTTGTATAAGGGTTTTAAGGTTATGTAAATATCCTTTTAATGTTTGTTATGTTTCTATAAGTCTCCATGAGGTTCCGCTTCCTCAAATGTAATGAAGTCAAAATTATTAATTTTTTTTTTTCAAATTTCTAGAAAGTTCCAAATGAGTGTAGAAATGAGTGTAGGAGGTTCAAAAATATATTTTCCTTATAATAATCACCAAGGATATGCATGAAGGCTTCGTTGCAATTTTTGTCATCCCCGTATAGAGGTCAGGATTTTTTATATATAAATACTCTCTGGCATCAGGGCCTCCCTGATTAATCTTAAACCAAGACATAAGTTTGGACTTGGTGGATTTTTGCTCTACAGTTTCAGTTTTGTTGCCTGGTAGAACAAATATTGTAAGCTTGTCTATAAGGTGGATATTTAATTTTTCCACATGCTCCAGCATGCTTCAGGTGCACTTATATATAAGGTCACCAAGTAATTTTTGATTTCGTCCCATTTAATATTAGCTTCCAGTTCTGTGGGAACAGTTACGAATTGAATAATTTCACAGTCTTGCCTCTTGTAAACATATTTTAAGAGGTATATAACGCTTTGAATTGAGCTACAAATCACAACGTTAATGTGGGCATTGTATTTCTGAGACAGGTATGAGTTGTATGGCACCACTTATCTGTTAACAACTTTGTTTCCCCCAAGTTCAACGCATGATCTCTGCGTTGATATTTGGGTAACAAGTAACAATGGACACTGCGGTTAGCTTCGGTACAGAAATCTATTTGGCATTTTTTTGTGCATTTTCCGTTTTCCATACACAATGCATTTGGATTTAATGGACCACATGGGCCATGTATCATACAGAATTTTACAATTTCATGTTGTCTCGGATGCGCATCTTTATCAGGAAGTTTTAATCAGACAATTTTGTCGGTTATTTCATCCTCCCAGGTTTCGTCTTCCATGGCAGCGTTGTTTCTGCTAGGGTTCACATTAATTACTATTTCTCCCAAGAGTGTCATGCTATATTTGGTTTTCCAGATTTGCCTTTAGAATTTCGTGTTGTCAAAAACATCACCAATACCGGTACTAATTACACAGAAATAGCTACACGAGTAATTTCTTTATAAAATATGCTCACTAAAAAATATCTATGTCGATGACAGACACACCATCTATGGCATTATATTATAAATCTAAGCCTACTCTTTTGCATGTGTACAAAGTTTGGTCTTTATCTGTCCATTCATTTTAATTTTATTTATATATCTCATTTAAGAAAAAACTAAATTTTGACCCCCACCCTGAAACAGGATTTTAATTATATTTTCAATGCAAACCCTCTCAGTATTTCCTTTATGTATCCCAAGTTTGATCAAGATCCATTAACCTATGTAGAAACATGGTAAAAACAGACAAATTTTCACATGTATAAATAGGAGATTAAGAGCTACTAGCAAGGACATACCAGGTACCCATTGATGAAGACATCATAAAGAAAAGATGGAGGTGGATAGGGCATATTGTCTTATCCTTCCTTTCAGCTTTACAGTGAATTAGAAAAAGTTTAATCCAACCGTTGTACAGTATATGGATGCAGCAACGAACACTACCAGAACCAGATCCACTTGCATTGTTTTATGTTTGATGACAAACAGCCTTATGTTTATAAGTGAGAGTTTTCCTGCTAAGTACCTGCATGTCATAAGCATTTAAATTAAAATTACCAAAATGAAATCAAATCTGTTTTTTAATTTCTATTTGTTGTGCGTTGAAAGAGGGGTAGTCTTTTACGGCGAGTATAGCCCAAACCCTATATTTTAACAGGAAAAGTAGGTGGTCGTCTTATACGCTGGGCTTTATAGCAGGCATTTTCAAGTCATTTGAGAATATTTTTTTATTCCTTACTCTATACATTTTATTATTTTTAAGTTACAGCTTTTTTGGATAAACAGACTTTTGAACCATGTGTAAGTCAGAAGGTATGATCATGTCAATTTTGGTTGTAATCCATTGTTTGGTTCTCTTGTTATAAAGTAGCAAATTAAAGTAAATACAAACAAAGAAAACATAGTCACACTGAGCAGTAGATTTTGGTTGAATGTTTGAGACAAATTTTAGAAACTTAAAACTTATTTTTCGAAAATTATTTTATTGCATTATTAATATAGAAACATAGCAAATTAATTTTTGTAATGTAACTGAATTAAAATTTAAATATATTCATTCATTACTAAGCAGGAGAAATAGTCATAAGGTATAGTTAGTAGAAATTTGAATTTCCAGGAATCAGCAAATCAGACACAGCAATGTGAATTTACAAATAACTCCCAGAGGAAAAGCATTATCGTTACAGCATTTTTATTCATATCAAAGAAAAGCATTACACAAAACTTTAAGATATTGATATATAAACTACTTTTGACTTTAACTACATAAAGTATCCTGATTATCCCAATTTAAAAACACTGACAACACATCGATTGGACAAGGGTGTTTCTACTGCATAAAGAGTTCTTTATTAATTAATTTCTGAGTGCCTTCATAAAATGTATTATGTTAAATTTATTTAAACTTTTTAACACCAGAGCACCATAGAAAATATGAATACTTACCAGAACAATCTCCACATGATTTAGTGACACAGCCGCTATAAGGGGTGTGGTACTATCTTTAACACTTGGCACTGCAGGATTGTTCCATGGATAATTAATATCAACTCCTTGATTAAGAACTGAAAGAACACTTTGTTTGTCATTGCCCACAACAGCAATGTGAAGATCCCTTTCTCTCTGGGGCATTCCCATTGTCATAGAAACAGCACAGTTCTTGCTTGATCGTGAGTTACCCATGACTCGGTTAAGATGGAATATGTTCTCAAATCCTCAATAATATCGTGTTTTCAAAAAAAGGTATAAAATTGTTTCTTTCTTATTCATGATGACATTGTTCACCAATTCAATATTGTGAAAATCAGTCACAAATACTGATTCTAATTGCAGTTAATTTGTAGAGCCATTGAGACTGGGAATGTAAAATTACTTTAATATCAACTCATATCTTCTGTTTCTCAAACTAAACCAATAAACATGCTTTCATTTTTCAACTTCCTTGCATAGTATGGAATTGGGAATTCCTAAGTGCAACTGAAAGTTAAAATCAAAGCAACTTTATGAATAAATTAACAAAAAATGATATGTCTTCTATTTTGGGTTTAAGATTGTTCAAATTCAAACTGATTCATAACAGTAACAGTATAGTGTACTGGTCTAGTATCAGTGTAGGAGTGTATATTTTGTACAGTTAATTTCAATTTGGGAGTTTTCTTGCAAAACATTTAGACTTTGATTTATTTATTTTAATTATCCCATGATAAGCAATCTATTGACTAATATTGTTACATGTTATAGTGTCTAATGGTCTACACCAGGGGTCTCCAAACTATGGCCCGCGAGGCTCTCTCATGCGGCCCGCAGAGACCTTTTTTTTTGTCTACAGAAAACAATTATGGAAATGTACGTGCATCCTGCCAAAATTAGACGCTGCTTACGTAGACGTTATGCAGGGCTGGCCTTTAGGGTGTGCAACCTGTGCCCTGGCACAGGTCGCCTTGGCCATATGGGGCGCCCAGTAAATATTTAAATTCCCTTAGTTTATTATAGTGAAGTGTGAACCTCGAGTCCGGGGTCCAGAACCGGTATTCTAACTTTTCGTACAATCGCTTTTCATACTATGAGTCTTCATACAATCAAAGCTGCATTCTTAATTTGGATACAGGGACAGGGAAGAGGGCGTCGAAAGGGTGCTTCGCATAGGGCGGAAGTTTACCTCAGGCTAAACTTTTGCGCCCCTTATAAGTATAATCATTAAAGGAAAAAAACTATGGATACCGTAATGAGTTTATTACCTATGTTGTTTTTTTTTAAAAACAAACAATAAACAAAAACAAAGGTAATAAACTCACTACGGAATAACTAGTTTTTTCCTTTAATGATTAAAATTATTATTATAAGGACCGCCAAAGTTAAGCTTGCACAAGGCGCCAGCAACCATCGGGCCGGCCCTGCTTTATGTTTTTACCAAATTAAAGTAGATGCGTGCAGTAGTGTGTTATTTTTTTCTAACCGATCATTACTTTTCAAAACCTTATTCGCTGCTTAGTTTTTCTATTTCTGTTTACAGTCAATGAAATGAGAATACATATTGCCATCTAGTGGCGGAGCTTTTCCCGCCGTGTTGCAGACATGGGTGAAAACATTGTGATTCAAATAGTGAAAAATGCAAGCAAGTTTCGCCAATTTTTAATTGCAATGGATGAATCGCTAGACAGCTGTTCCACCTCTCAACTGCTTACGTTCGTTAGGGGGAGTGTGGATGAAGACATGAACATAACATGAGCTGGCTTACCAAATAGCATGTAGGGAACTGTTACCTGATGAGTTTAAAAAAATATTTTCAGATTATAACTTGGACTGGACATCAAATCTAAATCCAGAAATGTCTGCTAATCACTGTTATTTTGGCATCCAGGAAACAATTTCACCCTTCCAACTAATACGGGTGTTCATGTGTCATGTATCAATATGTTATTAAATAATAAATACTGAATGAAATAATACTACATAAATAATTAAAAACAACATCCATGTTTATATTCTTTTTTATTTAGACCTCGAGTGTGTAGTCGGCCCCCGAACTGCTGTTTGATAGTTAATCCAGGCCTCGGGCTGAAAAGTTTGTAGACCCCTGGTCTATACTGTTACTATGGTCACTAAAGTCTAAACATAGTCAGTGTGAATGATGTTACAGACTTTATATTTATAGTTAGTTTATAGTATTTATAGGACTCTAACTTATGATTACTAGCTAGGCTAAAGCAGATTATTATTAGGGGTGTGCCGGATCCGTTTTTTCCAACCGGATCCGGATTTTCTTATGCGAAATCCGCCGGATCCGGATTCCGGTTTCTCCCGGATTCCGGATTTTGGTACTATTGGTAGATACTTCGGTAAGTCAAGGTGGACTACTACTTTTTGTGTATGGGAATTCGCAATCGGCGCCAAAAAATCCGAGTTTTTAATTTTCCGATGTGTGTGTCTATTTATTATTAAATTAGTACTTTCGATATATATTTGAGTTCCGTTCCATTTGGATAAGTGTCTTACGAGAGACGCCATGTTTCTACGCGTTCGCAGCAGGTCATGCAGCTCGCTCAACCTAATTTCGCCATGGGGTTGGCCACGCCCCCCTTTTTAATGGCGGAAGTTGACGATACTTAGGAAATATTAATTTATTATCACTATTTACATCAAAATAATTGATAACTTGTGTTTCAGAATGCATTTAAAGACATTTAAACTGGAATGTTTTAATTTGAGCTTTAACAACCCGGTAGAATCCATATTATAAATGATCAGAATTTACCGTGTGCAACACGTTGTCATTGGCAACCATTCACAGCCACTTGCATAACTGTATCGTAGTACTACCTCAGAGTTTCATTCATAAGAGTTTGCCGTGTGCAAAAACTATTAAACCATTGGTCAGGGAAAGCTTTAATTAATTATTCATGTGCCAAAGTTGAAAGTTTAAACTAAGTCTAAACAGTATTTTAGTGATAAGGCAGGGAATGCGTTGCCTTATATAAACTATATAGTCATTGCGCATGACGGGATTGGTGGAATGAGATCACAGAATGTGGAGATGCAGTCCATGTTAAAAAATGACAAACCAAGTCGTACTTTAAAAATTCATAACTTTAAAACTACAACAGCTAAAAATATGATTTTGGTGTTATAATTCTTTAAAAAATTACATCTTTTCAACTATGCCATTGGTTTATTTTTACAAAAAGTTTAAATTTTCTTATCAAAGTCCCTACACTATTGGCCACTATTAGCGGTGCTGACTCTAGCCTCTGGTATGTACGGAATATTAAACATTAAACAAGCTCAACGCTCGAAACAATCGATTAATGTATCGTGATCGTGTGAAATTCGGGAAAGAGAATTACTTTTATTTCAGATTATGATCCGGTGAGTCACAAAATCTGGCAAATTCCGAAATCCGGTATATTCCGGATTCCGGTTGTTCCGGATACATGTAAATCCGGCGGAACCGGATTTCACCGGATAGTGCAAAATCCGGCGGAACCGGATTCCGGACCGGGGTCCGGCACACCCCTAATTATTATCATAGTACAATAGTAAGCCTAACTTATTCAATTGTCAATTTTTATTTTATTACATTATTATTTTATTATATAGTTAGTATTCCAACTAAATATTAAGTGATAAAGTTATAGTTATCAGTTAAGCATAGGCCTAGGCACATCAACTAGCTTCATGAATCAAAGTCAAAGTGCTTGCCTACTGGATACTTCATCATACATATATTATATGGATAATACGTTTTCTGATTATGATTCAACAATTACTTTGGTATAGAGACTTGATTACATAGAGCTTAGACTGGTCAGTGTAAGTGTAGGGTTCCGAGACATCAAAAAATGAACTGAGACGTGGTGTCCTATGCCGACTTTGCCCGGCCTACTATTACTATTACTATTATTATTAATGATGCATATTTAAGTAAACAGTGACTAGTCACTTTCTTTCTAATACGGTTACGTGTTTTAACTTATTGATAGACATCACAAACAACAAATATATGTCTACATGTTATATATTATATATATTTATTGTTTCCATGAATGCACTTATCAATATCAACTTATGAAGGAAAATAATCAGATTAGGCTGCCTAATGTTTATGTTGTGGTAAAAAATTCAACTACCAGATTTTTTACAATTTAAATTACAATAATACAAGTTTTCAGGGAGATAGCTCTTTTGTAATTGTATTGAAATTAATAAAATTTTAGGTATAAAATCCAGAATGATTTAATAATTGTCATTTGATAAATATCTGCTTGTTTTCTGAAATACATTTAATAAGTAGTTACTATTTGTATTTTGTGTTTCAAAGGAAAACGCAGTTGTTGTTTTCTTTTACAGCTTTTTTTTTTTTTTTTTTTTTAAAACACCTATCAAAAAAAGCCCGGTTCGAAAGGATTTTTTTTTCCC